TTCTTCACTTGGGCCTGCAGAGGTATGATGGGTAGCTACAACAGAATAAAAGATTGCATCTCTGCTTTCATATTGCATCCATCTCCTTTTACTGCCTTAAACTTTGAGTCAGACTTCTACTCAGTTCCGCACATTTAAGGAATTCAGGTATTTTCAATATTTATAGGAATGTGATAGTTAACAAGTTGTCAACCACCAGCTTTTAGTTAGTCCTGTTGCAGAACACCAGAGATTTATATGTCATCCTTTTTTTTCTAATTCAAAATTTGTTGAATTTGTAGGATTTTAGTTTGCTTATTAGTTTAATTTTCTTCTCTCCCATTCTCCACTCCTTCCTTCCATCCTCCCTTTCTTTCCTTCTTTTTCTTGAAAACCATTTTATTTGATATAACCATCCATTTGTCAACAAAGTATTAAAATGTGTAATTATTCCTGCCTCTTCTTCAATGTTTTCATTTCATAGAAGACATCAGAGAGAAGAAACTCAAAGACATTTCCTTTGAGCTGACTAATGTAGGGCCCAATATGACCATTTTGAAAAGGATATGGCTCTACCCAAATTCCCAGAAGTCAGCCAATCCCTTGGCTTTTTATTTGGACCTGGTTAGAGGCAGCCTATTTTACATCACCCTGGGGATTATTCCATGCCAAGTGTGATAAAGGCTGGGAAGGCGCAGAGTAGAACAGAAGGCAAGCCAGGAGTGCCTTGAGATCCTTCCTCTGTAGGCTCATCCTCTAAAGTTCCCAGGACAAATATTACTCCCGCAACACACCTGTCTTCAAGAATCAAGGGGACATCAGGCAATTAATTACAGTTTGAGGGGTATCTTTGGCTAGAAATTATGTTACATTCCCTATACCCTGGGGTTTTCATTGTTACTAGTTATACCCTAAGATTCATAGATGTAGGGCTGATAAACAGTAGTTAAGAATTTGTGTTTTTAGGTTTTCTTCTTGATGCCTGAGAAATGTCTAGGAACTTGGGAGTTGATTTTTAGGTCCCATGAATCTAGAAGAGGTTAGAAGTATTTGATGAAGTATGGTCATCAGAGGCAAATTTTGACATGGGAGAGAAAACGTAATTTTAAAAAACAATAACACAGAAAATAGGAAGAAATAGACATGGAGTGATGAAATAATGAAGATGCAGGAAGAGAGGATGGTATGTGAAGTTTAAAAGAGAGGAAAGAAAAAACAAAAGAGAGAAAAATGAAGTGAGAGATAGGGTGAGAAAAAGAGGCAAAAAGAGAGAAAGGTTGATAAGAAGATAGAAATAGAAATATATAAAGAATTTCTTCTGCCTTGGATCCTGACATAGAAGATTAGATCTGAACAGCATAGAATTCAAGCATTCCAAAACTGATTGGGTATTTCAACCAAAAGTTTGAGGACAGATTCCTATATTCCCCAAATGTCTTCCTCCCTGGATATAAAAATTCTCCAGCTGCCAACATTAGAGATTTTTTTTCCTTGAGGAAAAATACATTCCTCATCATTGAGTCAAATTAACACTCTAGTGTAGTGCCTTAACTATGGTAGGTTTTGAAGGTGTTGAATGAATGTGTGCACTTTCTAAAGACAAATGTCTATATAAAGGGTCACTTATTTAGTCCTAATGATTGCTGTGTAGAAATTGTTCAGATAAAACCTGACCTCTGAACCAGTAAGAGGGCACCTAAGGCTGAAAAGAAGTATATGGTGAAGTATGGTCATCAAAGGGGGTATATGATGTAGGAGGCATGGCTCAGAGTAAACAAGGCCATTTCTTCACATCTTGCTGAAGAGAATCACCTTCCTGACTTGACTTTGAGGTATGGTAGGCTGCTTATGTATTGCTATGTGTCTGCTTGGTAAATTCAGATCCTCTCCAAAGGCAGTCTGGGGTACAGGTTCAGCTTCTGGGTATCTGAATGTAAACTTCTAAGAGGATAAACCCTCTTTCTTAAATGTTCTGTTTGTTTTCCTTACTGATAAATAGCACCTATCTATTTCTCAGATACCTGAATGATAATTCCAGAAATAAACGATCATTTGCCCTCTGCATCCACTCATCCTCTCTATTGTTGCTCTTGGTTTGCATCTGTATTTTTACAAATGATTTTTACCTTTGATTCTGCATTTCTGCCCAAGTATTAACACTTAGAGTCTAGCAAAATAATTGTTATGAATTATTTTCTGCTGGGGGTAAAGAATATAAATTTCTCTGATCCCTGACTGGGTAGACTTGAATTTTGAGTTTAATTTTAGGAAGACTCAACATTTATTGAGACTATGCCAGCCAAGTTACTAGGGCCTTTGTATACATAATCTCATTTCATTTTTATAATAACCTTATGGAGTAAAATTATGTCTTGCTCAAATATCCTCATCTATTGAATATAGTAGAAATATTATGTACACTCATGTATGTAAATGGAAAAATGTTACCTGCTGAAACTATTTCAGGGATGGGGGGGAGGGTAAAAGCAAAATGACAGAGGGGTGAATTCAACTATGATATATTGTAAGAAGTTTTGTAAGTATCAAATGTACCCCCAGTACAATAATAAATGAAAAAAGAAGAAAAAATTGGAATTTGGAAGGGTTAAAACATCTGCTATGGAACAAAATTGCCATAATCAAACAGATCTTATTCCAAAACATACAACTTTTTCCACACTCACACTGTCTCCAAAATCAAAGAAGGAGGAGGGAAAATAAAAGAGAAGAGAAATGCTTACTCTTAGGGTACTAAAACAGGTGAAGTTTGAGTCTCATACCTTTTAGTGAGATTAGGATTTGGACTCAGGGCTTTGTGCTTGCAAAGCAATTGTTCTACTGCTTGAGCCACTCTCTAATCCATTTCTGTCTGGTTATTTTGCAGATGGGATCTCACAAACTATTTGAGATCCTCCTGATCTCAGTCTCTCAAGTAGCGAGGATTGCAGGTGTGATCCACCAGTGCCCACCAATACTAATACTTTTTACACTGTTTACTGACCAGTCTCAATAGGTAGATCAGGGTGAAGGTGCCTTTTAGGTCTTAAGATGAGGTCTGGTTATATTTTAGAAACCAGAGGTTTGAGAAGCTGCCACTGATTTGTTTTCTTCTGCTGAATGTTTTCTCTTGGCTAAAAGTCTATTGGATTAGTAAGAGCCCTCTTCAGTTCTCTGTGCTTTCCTATTTAAAAAAGGATGGTTTTGAGGGTATCTTTTTAGGAGAAGGAATGGTTTACAGTCTCCTTTATGATTAGTGACAAATGGTTCCACAAAAATAGTAATCTTTACCTCTACTTGTTAGGTAGGTGTTAACCCTCTTGAGTGACTGCATTGTTTTGTTACTTTTAAGGCAAAGTTGTGGAAGGACATGTAAATTTTTGTTGTGTACTGGCACCCAGATAGCCAGAATATTTGTATATATTGGGAGTCATCCAATGCTGATGTATCAAGTTCATTTTAATACTGTAACAAATTACCAGAAACAGTGGCTTAAAAATACCCCACAAATTTATTAGCTTCCAGTTCCAGAGGGCTTCAGTGGGTTAAAATAAAAATATCTAATTTCTTGTACAAGTTCTAGACCAGAATCTGTTTCACTGCTTTTTCTAGCTTCTAGAGATCACTAGTATTCTTTGGCTCATGGTCCATCTAAAAACATCATCATAACATTTCAATTCTCCCCCAACTATGGCTCTTCTACATTCTTTTCTGCAATTAAAGGCTCATGACTACATTGAGCTGACCCAGATAATTCAGGATGCTCTTCTTATTTTAAAGTCAGCTGTGTTGGCAATCTTAATTCTATCTGCAGCCTTAATTTTCCCTTGCCATGTATCATAAAAGTATTCACAAGTTCAGGAGACTAAGATGTGGCTATCTCTGGGGATCAATGATTCTTATTATCAAACTGACTGGCAGATGTTGTGTTTTAAGATGGCAGAAACACCCAAGATAGAGAAGAAATTTTTAGATACACTTAAAATCTCACTTCTTTTGCATCTCTTGATAATATCCTTCACAATAAGTTAGATAAGTTTTATTATATTGCCTAGAGAGCAATGGATGCTGGATTCAAAATTAGAAAGCATATACTTTGAAACTTTGAATATAATTTAAAATGATGTTTAATTTCCACTCAACTTGCTCTGTATTTACAAAAGATAATAAGGTATAAATGAATTTGCTTAAAATATTTTCTAGAAACCAGTCTGGTATTGCTTTCTCAATATTACATGAGATCACAGGAAACACATCACCATCAAAGGGAAGGAGTCTAAATGACATTAAATGGGAATGTGGAACAGGAAATCAACAAGGGTGAGAATGGTGGGGGGAAGGGGAAGGAGAACAGAAATGTAAGAGAGACCCAGGCTTAACAGCATCTTTAATTCATATTAAGGTTGTTGTACTTATCTTAATATCAATAGAAATACTTCAAGAATTTTTAAATAGGGTAAGTCTTATTGAAATATAGGTTCTAAAAAGATCTCATTATCTGCAATAGAGAAAATGGGTTGATACATTTCAGAATTTTAAGATCCCTCTTAAAATTGAAACAAATAAAAGTATATGCAGATTGACTACTATTCTTTCAGGAAAACAATACTATTTCTTCCATACTGTTATTGGAAAAAGGCACATTTCATCTGGAATTAAACAATGGATATTGAAGTCAAATCTTCTAATGTTGGCTGTGCTATGATTAATGACTTGTAATACCACTACAGAAACATCTTGGGACAAATACTTGTTTAAAACACCTTTATACACACAGTGTAGTCCTTGGTGTCACAGATGTAAGAATTATGTTAGTGAACCAAGAAAATGCTGACTGTCATTAATGTATGCTATCAATACTTTCTCTAGTTTCCTTATATCAAAATATGAGAAATATATAAAGTTTCTCATTTTCTTGAAATAAAACATGAATCTTTTAAATATGACTTCTAAAAATGTTTATTTTAGAGACCCATCCCTAATATTCTCATCCATTTTTCATTCCCATCAGAGAGAAGAACAGCATGAAGAAGGAGAACCAGAGCGGCATGTCTGAGTTCTTCCTCCTGGGGCTCCCCTTCCGGCCAGAACAGCAGGGCATCTTTTTTGCTCTGTTCCTGGCCATGTACCTGACCACCGTGCTGGGGAACCTGCTCATTATTCTGCTTATCAGGCTGGACTCTCACCTCCACACCCCCATGTACTTCTTCCTCAGCCACTTGGCCTTCACTGACATCTCTTTCTCATCTGTCACTGTCCCAAAGATGTTGATGGACATGCAAACTAATCACAAGTCCATCCTCTTTGCAGGATGCATTTCTCAGATGTATTTTTTCATATTTTTTACTGACCTGGACAGCTTCCTGATTACATCAATGGCTTATGATCGATATGTTGCCATATGTCACCCTCTCCACTATACCACCATCATGAGAGAAGAGTTGTGCACCTTACTAGTTGCTGTATCATGGATCCTGTCCTGTGCCAGCTCCCTCTCTCATACCCTTCTCCTTACCCGGTTGTCCTTCTGTGCTGCTAACACCATCCCTCATTTCTTCTGTGACCTTGCTTCCCTGCTCAAGCTGTCCTGTTCAGACATCTTCCTCAGTGAGTTGGTCATGTTCACAGTAGGGGTGGTAGTCATTACTATACCATTTATATGTATACTGGTGTCTTATGGCTACATTGGGACTACCATCCTAAGAGTCCCTTCAACTAAGGGGATCTGCAAAGCATTATCCACATGTGGTTCTCATCTCTCTGTGGTGTCTCTGTATTATGGGGCAATATTTGGACAGTACCTTTTCCCAACATTAAGCAGTTCCATTGACAAGGACATCATTGTGGCTATCATGTACACAGTGGTCACACCCATGTTAAACCCTTTTATCTACAGCCTGAGGAACAAGGACATGAAAGAAGCCCTTGGAAAACTCTTTGGTAGAGCAACATTTTTCTCACTGTAACATCTGACCTCTCTTTGAGTCAGAACCTTATTTATTTCATTTTCCATTTGGATGTGCTTCAAAATCTTTTATGTCTCAAAGTCTTAATACATGCTAGCATGTTAGATATACTTAGTAAATGTTTCTTGACCAGAATTCATCATTTAAATGGCAATGTTGTCTTTTATAAATAGATATTAGTTGTCTTATTTTTATCAACAAAAATAACTATATATATTTATGGGGAACAGAGTAATTGTTATCTCAACAGATATGTATGATGTACGTAAATCAAATCAGAGTAATTAGAATTTTTACCTGCTTATCATTCCTTCATATTCGGACACTGAGTTCCTCTCTTCTATCTCTTCATAAAATATGTACTATGTTATTGTGAAACATTGTCACATTACTGTGCTGTAAAATTTATTCCCCCTGTCTGACTGTTTGGTAAGCGTCATTCAGCCTCCCTCTGTGCCTTCTTTCCCTTACTCCTCCTACCTTCTAGCAATTACTACTCTACTGTCAGATTGACATTTTTATAAATAGCTTTTGAACAGCAAATGATAAATTAGTTTTATTACTTTTTTTTTCTAGTCAAAGGAGCGTAAATAATACAGTAATATACAGTTGGGTTTTCCTTTATTTGGGGAGATTTTTGGAGTCCTGTATGTATTTAGACCAATGGTCCCATGCTTTAATACAACCTTGGATATAAAGAATTTGTTATATTATTTCATTATTCTCTTCTATGAAGACTACGTGGGTTTTCTTTTCATTTTTATGAGTCTACTGAAATCAAATAATACAAAATAATTGCAACTTAAATGAGAGGAAATGTATGACTCTCTGCCCAGGGTGTAAAATGTTATAGAAACTGAAGATTTAGGTGACTTGTAGGAGATCAGGCTATCCCTACTGATCCCTCCTTTGCCAACACTGTGTGGTGATTTTTCTCTGTTCCCTATTCATTCCTTAATGAAAGGGTGCCTCTGATGGCCTCCTTTGAAATATAAACAAATTATAGTGCAAACTTTGAAAGCATCATAGCTTTCCTAAAAGCTGCCATTGCGGATTTAACACAGACTAGTGTATATGGACATCGTGGCTTCCCCAATAAAGAATAAAAACCAAATCCCTTCAAATTTTAAGATGCATAAGAATTCTTGGTGACGTTGCTAAAACCAATTCTTAGGAACTACAGCCACAAATTTTGATTCATGGTTATGGGGTGCAGACCAAGACTTTTAGATTCTAGCAAGCTCCCAGGCAATGCCAAAGCAGTAGAAAACTGAAATAGGATTTAAACAGAACTGGTTTAACAACTAAGTCTTGGAAGTTATGGGAAACACATTTATAATATCTTACATCAATTCTGAGAGTAAGTTGAATGAATAAGAGATGGCTTAAGTTATTTTAGTAATAGAAAAATCAGTGATTCATGCCAATATTTTCAGATTAATTCTGGCAGTAGTAAATTCATTAATTCAAGCTAATTAATAGGGAAAATATTTTAATAATAAATGAGAACTAAATGTCTTCCAAGAGTGATCAGATTTTCTTTTTTATATAGAAAATAGATATATCAGATACTACATGTCATGTTTATGTTATCAAATAAAACTATATATTCAGTGAAAAATGAAGCCAAAGCTTTGAGAAAATACACCATATGTTCATCAGTAGCTTGTTTCTATTAAGCTTGGTAGAATTTCAGTATGACATAATTTTGTAATGTCTCTTAATACTCTGATTTTCTATTCATATGGCCTATTGTAACGCTAAAGCATTTTTATTTTGGGGGCTAACAATTTTTTTTAACACATGATGCATGATACAATGAAATGTCAGTCAGTTAGAAAGCAGTACATGACTTCAGAAAAGCTGTATTGCCACTAAGTCACCTTTGAATTCATGGCAGAACATCCAGCAATTTCATGCTATGTGATGTAATTCATTTCTGAAATACCTCATTGAATTGTCATGTTTCTTGACATAGCCTATAAAACAGTACATGTATCAAATCTAATCCATAATATTGGCATTAGATGCACCAAATTTTTATCTCAGTCTCTAAACCCTTCATTTTTACGCATCTTCCCCATACAAAATACAGTATGCTTTCCCGGCTTTATACTGAATATAAGACTAAGTATGTAAAAAAGACATTTAAAGCTCTGGTGATGCCTTAAACTCCAGTCTATTTGAAGTGTGAGGATAGTATTCAAAACATTTTGAAAGAGTTTGGTATTTGACATTGTGTGTATTACTGCAACAGCAACTTCCATGTGTTACCCATCTAATTTCATTCCATCATTTTTTACGTAGTCTCTGGGTAAGTGTAAACCATCTGGTATGACTGTTACATATTTCAAAAAATTCAACTTGGTCTTCTATTGTTTATGTACTTTCACGTTGGATTTTTGTCTTTCAAACAAGAAGTCACAGGTACTGAAGAATCAAGACAGAGAAACCCATTAAAATTGATGCTTCTAGCAATATTAAAGCCACCTTGATCAGACAATTGTCAAAATTATAATTTCAAGGCCTCATATGGTCTATAATAAAGTTTCACAGGGAAACTTCATGTTCTCTTAGGAAGAGATCTGCTAAAAATAGTTTAACTATGTTTTTAATGTAGTGATGTACATAGACATGAAAATGTATGTGTGAGTGTTGCCGTTTATCGACTAGACCTGGGTGACTGGAGCCAAAAAAGATGGGGGAAACTAATCGAATTGTGTTCAATAGCCACTTTAATGAACATAAAGTGCTTTTTATAAACTCCTTTTTTTCACAGAGAGCATTTGGTCAGAAAAAGCATGCCAAGTATTACATGTCAAGGTTACATTAGTACAAGGAAGCACAGTTAAAATTAACTCTATCATTGTTATGTCTCTTTTAAAACGGGAACAGAGAGGCAGGAGAAGCACACACGGTGAGCATAACCTTCTTATTTACATCTGAAGGACATGCAGCCGTCTGGAGAACCTGAGCACTGTTAGTTTTTGGACGTCTGGTTCTGAGACCATTGCCTTAGTTCCTTAGAGCTTCCTCACAAGGCCAGATGTCAAATCACACAGGCACAGTCTCACTGCTGGCTCTGACATATGAGCACAATAAATTATTTTTAAAACAGAGATATAAAATACTATTAAATAATACCCATCTATATAAACAGATGATTATTAATAAAAGCTGTTTTAGCAGAATTAAATCTTGAGTAATAGAAAGATGAGATACTTTGACCTCTGCTGTTTTCATGTCTATATTATTTAGTTTCCCATTATGAAAAGAAATTCATTTTTAAGAGCAAAACCAAAAAGGCATTTCTATTGTGAAGATAAATCCCTGGGCACATTCAAACATATGGCCTAACCAGGGGAAATGTAAATCTGGCAGGGGAGCTCTTTTCACATCTCCTTTTGTGCTCACATTTACCCTAAAGAAGAGTGTTTCCTCAAAGTCTGCCATTAGACACATCTGCCTAGGAGTTATTTGGCCTCAGAACTCATGAATGAGCATCTCTGGAGGTGGAGCTGGGACAAATCCCCAGGTGATTTGTCTGAATGTCAAAGTTTAGGGACCACTGCCCTAGGGCATCTGTCCTGGAGGGAGTAAGGGAAAAAATACATTAATACATGTTTAATACATGTCTCTTCCAAGAGCTTGGTGTTCTGTCCCTTGGGTCTTCTCCCTAATTTATAGAGAAGCCTTCACATCTCCACTTCTGAAGCTGGTGAATTAAGAAGAGTAAGCTTCATGCAAGTCCATGACTTTTCTCTCTGATGTCAATGACAAGTTGAGGACCACAGAAGTTGCATGTTAATATTGGTTACTGGGTCTCCTAGAGACAAATTGAGAAACAAGCACATATTCCTGGCAGCTGGATAACCTAAGCACGAAGTTCAGAGCAGGACTGAGCATCATTCATCAGGAGAAGGTGTGTGGGAGGGGGTCAGGTACTCAGCAAATCTCTATTCTCTCTCTGAAGTTATTTCTTATTCTAGTTCCTAAAAACAAGGATATATTTTTTTTTATTTTTTATTTTTTTTATTATTATTCATATGTGTATACAAGGCTTGGTTCATTTCTCCCCCCTGCCCTCACTCCCTCCCTTACCACCCACTCTGCCCCCTCCCTCTCCCCCCACTCCCTCAATACCCAGCAGAAACTATTTTGCCCTTATTTCTAATTTTGTTGTAGAGAGTATAAGCAATAATAGGAAGGAACAAGGGTTTTTGCAGGTTGAGATAAGGATAGCTATACAGGGCATTGACTCACATTGATTTCCTGTGCGTGGGTGTTGCCTTCTAGGTTAATTCTTTTTGATCTAACCTTTTCTCTAGTTCCTGTTCCCCTTTTCCTATTGGCCTCAGTTGCTTTTAAGGTATCTGCTTTAGTTTTTCTGTGTTAAGGGCAACAAATGCTAGCTAATTTTTTAGGTGTCTTACTCATCCTCACCCCTCCCTTGTGTGCTCTCGCTTTTATCATGTGCTCATATTCCAATCCCATTGTTGTGTTTGCCCTTGATCTAATGTCCGCATATGAGGGAGAACATACGATTTTTGGTCTTTTGGGCCAGGCTAACCTCACTCAGAATGAGGTTCTCCAATTCCATCCATTTACCAGTGAATAATAACATTTCGTTCTTCTTCATGGCTGCATAAAATTCTGTTGTGTATAGATACCACATTTTCTTAATCCATTCGTCAGTGGTGGGGCATCTTGGCTGTTTCCATAACTTGGCTATTGTGAATAGTGCCGCAATAAACATGGGTGTGCAGGTGCCTCTGGAGTAACCTGTGTCACAGTCTTTTGGGTATATCCCCAAAAGTGGTATTGCTGGATCAAATGTTAGATCGATGTCTAGCTTTTTAAGTAGCCTCCAAATTTTTTTCCAGAGTGGTTGTACTAGTTTACATTCCCACCAACAGTGTAAGAGGGTTCCTTTTTCCCCGCATCCTCACCAACACCTGTTGGTGGTGGTGTTGCTGATGATGGCTATTCTAACAGGGGTGAGGTGGAATCTTAGCGTGGTTTTAATTTGCATTTCCTTTATTGCTAGAGATGGTGAGCATTTTTTCATGTGTTTTTTGGCCATTTGAATTTCTTCTTTTGAGAAAGTTCTGTTTAGTTCACTTGCCCATTTCTTTATTGGTCATTAGTTTTGGGAGAATTTAGTTTTTTAAGTTCCCTATATATTCTGGTTATCAGTCCTTTGTCTGATGTATATTGGCAAATATTTTCTCCCACTCTGTGGGTGTTCTCTTCAAAAACAAGGATATATTGATCACTACTGACTCTCATACCTTTAATTTCAGGTTCTTAGGGACATGAAGAATAGAGCCTGCAGGCACATCCTCAAATCCAGGATAGGGCTCCTATCCCATGAGTCATGTTTTCAGGTATCTGAATGTGTGCTTGTTTAGTGTATGTAGTGTTAACCGGTTCTTTCTAATGCTTCTCTCCAAAATCTCTGATTGTTCCTTCCTTTTCACATCATTGCTGCTTTCACCTGAAAGTATATTTGAAGAACACTTGAAGCTAGAGAACTTTGGTTCCTTTCCTACTGCCGCCCTCATATTGCAACTGCTTGTCAGAATCTGCTTGAAGGGTTGTTGCTTATAATCCCTATTATGCTCTCATATCTTCATTGAAGGCATCAAATCTTGCTCATAGAAAAGATCTACTACCACAAATGTATTGTATGAGAGGACTTTCAATGTTTCAACACAATTTTTTACTTTTTTCTTAGGTTTCATTAAAGATAAGACACCAGTTTCTTCCCTGAGATCTTTTATACTTTTTATTTAATGGAAGCTGTGTTGCCTCATATAGGAACTTCCTATGAGTGAATTATTTTGCATACAACATCATCCTTAATTTTTACTGTACTTTGGGGCTTTTATCCTAGTCTTACGGAGGGAAAACTGAGGCTTCAATAGGTACAATATCTTTCCCAAGGACATATAGTTGACAAATGACAGAGAGGTAATTTGAATTCTTTCTGAATGACCACAAATGTTGTTCCCTGTTTTCTTCACAGACTCATTGTCAAGAAAATATCCATTATCAGCAAGCCGTGGTTAAGGTATTGTTGATAAGAAAGTGGGTGTGGTGAAGTGAGAGTCTTTACATGGTCTTTACATAGACTCCTGTTGATAAAATTCAGTCATGCATGAATTGAATCTGAGGGAATTCTGTTAAAACCTTAAATCTCATGAACTAGATAAGTTTACAACTTCAGGAGGGAGTTGTCTTGTTATAACATGAAGAAAGCAGAGAGAATAAAGAAGTCCAGAACACTGGAATCTGAGTCGCCATTCTCTAATTTGCAGGACTTGGTTGGAATCTACCTCTATGCTGAAGTTCATCACCACTATCTGTTGCCTTTGCCTGCATCCAGTCTTAATCTAGTGAGGAGTAATCTGTGGAACCTGAACTCTGCTCAGTATCTTTCTGTTGAGTGGGGTGGGCAGTCACTACAGAGAAATAGAGGGGTCTCCATTGGAGAGTGGGAAATCAATATTAGTTAATGACAAGTATCCACAACTGCTGTTCACAAGTTGTAGTTTACTAATAATCAGACTATTCTCATGATTTAGGCTCGTAGTCTTATGTCCAGTTTAGAAATGAGAAAACAAATTTCAAACTGGATTACTTGCCCAGAGTTCGCAAACATGGAGTGATGTTGCCAGGATTTGAAAATGTTTCTGAATTCAAATGCTTTTCTCAATACACCACACTACCCTCAGACATAGCACCATGGTCATGTCCTTAAGGAGAGTCCTAAGGAGCACCAAAATGCTTAAATTAACAGAGACACAGTGGGAACATGGGCTAGGCATTCTTGCATTCAGAACACCTGTGACTGTTATTTATGAGCTTGCTTTTCAATATGATTAAAATGGAGATGCATACTCACATAAGATAGCAGTATGCTCAAATCTGTAGTTTAAAGAAATAAAAAATGTTACACATGCCATTAATATCTATAAACTCTTCTGGACACATCCTCCAATTAGGAATTACTCAACAAAATCTTAATGTTTTGCATTTACTCACTGTATGTCGGCACATTTACCATTTTTTGCCTTAAAGGAAGTATTTCTTAAATGCAGTTAGATCATTGACTCTTTTTCCTACTTGTCTTGAAGTATTTAGTAACCTGAGCTTTAGAATATTTTAATGGGTAGAAAGTGATTGTTGGGGAAAGCTATAAATAGATTTTGTAAGATACTTGATACTGATGACCTGGTGGCCCAGGATATACCTGAAACTTTGACGGGGTTGATTAGCAAATTCTGTAGTTCAAGATGCCAGGTCCCCAAATGAAGAAGGTTAAAAGGGGGGAGGGCAAATTGGTGGCTCTTTTGAGTTTTAATAAAAACTCAACTGTGTATTTAGTATCTTTATAGTATCATGACAGCTCATTGAATCAGGAAGAGACTGGAAATGATCTAAAATATCCTGATAAACATTGTTACTGGCAATAACTTTATAATTCCCAATAATGCCTTCATTTTTATACCAGTGATATTGTAATCAATTGATATGGTTCTTTTCTCATCAGCTCCATACATAATTGAGACTTTGGACATTTAAGGGATAGTGTTTGGCATAGGCTGTCCTGGAACTCATGATCTTCCTGCCTTAACCTACCAAGTGCCAGGTTATGAGTATGTGCCACCACAACCTGCCATTCATTTATTTAATTATTCAATTATTTATTTATTTGATGTCAGGTCTCACCATAACCCAGGCTTGGCAACCACAAAGTCAGCCACATTGACCTCAAACTTATGATCCTCCTGCCTTATGGCTGCTTCTTTTTTTGTTTTTAACAGATTTCCTTTAGGTATGTTATTGAAACTTCCACCCTTATTAATAGATTATGAAGTCACATTTCAAAAGTTCAATATTATAGTACAGGACAGTCTGATGATTATTAAAATACAAAAACATAATAGAAACAGAGGAGATTTTAACTTAGTATTTCTCTCCTGAGACAGTGGAAGCTTTCTCTTTACTGACTGATACAGGTGCATATTATGACTTGGTCTGAGTGGCTTTGCCCTAGATGGTGAAAAATGTCAATGTGTTAGCTTTTCTTCTACATTAAAATCTCCTCTTAGTTGGTGAATTCTACCATTTTATATACATTCTACTTCAAATGATTTTTGGTAGAAATATGGCAATACCAGTAGACAGTGGCATACAATGTTAACTAATAAAAAGAACCTCACTTTTATATGCCAGCTATAAATCAACACTTGTTTGCCTCTGCTTTCTGCAATGTACTTCCATTCCCAGCAGTGAGAGAAGCAGTGAGGAAGGAGAACCAGACTATTGTATATGATTTCTACCTTCTGGGTCTCCCAATCCAACCCAGAGCAGCAGGATGTGTTCTTCACCTGTTCCTGGGAATGTACCTGACCACAGTGCTGGGGAACCTGCTCATTAGGCTAGACTCTCACCGCCACCCCCCCATGTACTTCTTCCTCAGCCACTTGGCTTTCACTGACATTTCCTTTTCATCTGTCACTGTCCCAAAGATGCTGAGGAGCATGCAAACACAGGATCAATCCATCCCCTATGCAGAATGTATAACACAGATGTACTTTTTCATATTTTTCACTGATCTGGACAATTTTCTTCTCACTTTGATGGCATATGACTGGCATGTCGCCATTTGTCACCCTTTCCACTACATCACCATCATGAAAGAGGAGCTGTGTACCGTTCTAGTAGTCATGTCTTAGATCCTGTCCTGTACCAGTGCCCTGTCCCATACCCTTCTTCTGGCCCGGCTGTTCTTTTGTGCTGACAACACCATCCCTCATTTCTTCTGCCCTACTCAATCTCTCATGTTCAGACACTTCCCTTAATGAGTTGATCATTTTCACAGTGGGATTGGCCATCATTACTCTGCCACTAATAAGCATTTTGATTTCTTATGGTCACATTGGGGGCACAATCTTGAAAATTCCATCTGCCAAAGGGATCTACAAAGCCTTGTCTACCTTTGGTTCCCACCTCTCTGTGGTGTCTCTGTATTATGGCACAATTATTGGACTTTATTTTATCCCCTCATCCAGCAATTCCAGTGACAAGGACATTGTTGCTTCTGTGATGTACACAGTGGTCACCCCATTGCTAAACCCCTTCATTTATAGCCTAAGGAACAGAGACATAAAGGGAGCCCTGGAAAAACTCTTTAACAAGGCAAAAAGAACACCATTATGACTTTTTCTCTTTATAAAGAGACATATAATCATATGTCTCTAAATGCTAAATTCCTAATCTTGCACTCATCCCGGAATAAGTGTTCAGTAACTATTTGATGAGTGAATTGCATTTTTTGTGCTTATTCTCCCTTTTCCTTGCAACTCTTTATTGCAAACTGTTAATTCTGAGTTGATATGCTAGTTATTTCTCTTGCCTATTAGATTCATAAATTTCATAGTTAATGGGAGCTTGAAGCTCTTCTCTTATTTCCTGGAACTGTATTTGTTCTTATGAATTCTTAGAAGTTGTTGGCTAATAAACCACCCTTGACATACAAAGATAGTGTAATTGGAAATTTGTAAAATATAACTTTTCCTATCCTCATCTCTCACACAGTGCTCTCCTCACATTTTTTGTTGTTATTAATGATGATGGTGGGCCAAGAGAAAAAACTGCACACTTTTATTTATGCCACTGGAAAACTATCCGCTCTGTTAATTTCAGCTGCTCCACTTAAGGATTGGAGTCTTCCTCTTTATTTTAAGAGCACTGGTCACCCATCTGGATGACAATAACCATCATTCATTCTTTATGAATCTTCCTGCCTGCATGTGTAAGTTTCAATCAAGTCAGACTTAATCAAGCTCAAGAATGAGAAAGACAAAGAAAGTATCCATTGTCTTGGATTCTGTTGTCCCCACTAAATTTGGTCCATTTCTTATTCAATCTTTTCATTATCCACCTCCTTGAATTTCATTTCTACTCATGACTCTAGGTTTGTATTGTGAGGCCAAGTGATCTAGCTTCCTCTATATCATATATTATTTGGCATCCAGTGAGGGCTCCCATAAGTCTCTTTCTTCAGCCATATACTTATTAATTAAGAGAACTATAAATGTTTCTGATACTTATCACCATGTAGCTCTAAGACAAAATTATTTGGGAAAGATAGATCACAATCATAAATCATATCTACCAGACTGGTGGCTGTGGAGCCTCAATTAATTCAACTAACTTATCTTAACTTCAATTTCTATTTCTGAATAGATGGAAAAACTATAAAGCAGCCAAAGTTTTTTATTTGAAATGAAACCTATAATAAATTTGGCTTAACACTACAAAACTGACCAAGACTAATGAACATTAGTTGTCCCTTCCTTCTCCATCAGGGTGAGTTTTGGAGCAGAACTTGGACAGGTATTACTAATTATGGTGACCATAAGCAGCATGGCATGTTAAATTCACAATGCAAAGGCAAGCAGCTGTCCTGGACACAGCAAGACATCTGATCTGATTTGAGCTATAACAAAATGAGTAAAGGACAATGGATGAGTGAGTTGATTAGGGAGATGGATTAGGAGAGACCGATCAGAAGAGTCTCTTACTGTTCATTTATTTATTATTCATTCAAAAACTAGGCCTTGACCAGGAGCTGGTGAAGTTACTGTTTAGCATACAAGGTTTCTTTGTGGAAGTACAATGAATGTCTCCCCTGATCCTTTCTTTATCAAGCTATAAACATGAGCTTAAAACTCATTCCCAACTGGTTCCAGAGCCAAAAAGGATGGATCTTCTCTTGCAAGTCTAGATAAAGCATGCTTTAGTTAGCCTGGTCACACCTATGAACTGCTGCTCATTCCCACCCCTGTTGTGGTGATACCATCTATAGGACTGAGTGCCAGCTCAATTTCCCTGACTGCACTCCAGTTCTGTTGTTTGGATCCCTGAATCTGTTTGGTCATGTCAGGTACATCCTTCAAAGAACTGAACACTATCATTCACATTTTTAGACATGAGCTTGTGGATTTTTCTTAAGAAATGGCATTCCCTTTTGCCCATTGGGAAGTGTTTTATCACTACCTACTCTGCAATCCAGATTGGTGTTTCTTGGTTGTGGACAGAGAAAATCACACTGTTGTGTGTCATTTTCAATTGAACATTCATTCCTGGAATCTTATTGGAAATACACGTTTAAGTTGTTGCATTTCTCTTCAGATATACCAGAGCCAAGTTTCATTACTTTCCCTAATGAAGCATCTCGTTGTTTTTAGAATGAAGTTTGTTGAATTTTGAAAATGATGAATATATAGTGGGTTCCCAAGTTAACAAAACTTGAATGTTGGTAATTATTAACATTTCAAGTGATTAGCTTATGTCCTCTAAATTTAGCATTAATTCTTTCATAATGTGACAATACAGCAATCTTTCTCAGAGGAGAAGAATCAAATGTCATTGGACTAGGAACTCCAGCACTTGATGGAGGTTTATGTGTATCTGTATGTATGTATACATATATGAATATGAATTCATACATATGAATATTCATTTACATATATGATTTTAGGAAGGCATATATATATGACATTAACTCTAACTTAAGGACAAAATTAGAGTTAATGTCAGAAAAATAGTGAGACTTCTCTTATCTCATAGATTCTCTCATTCAGTAGCCATTTAACAATTATCTACTTTATGCCATACAGTGTGACCATTCTTGATCTTACAGAGCAGGAAAAAGCCACAGTCTCCAACTAATGAAGCTCACAATCTAGTAGTGTACAGACAGGTGTACTGAAAAAATATTTAGGGATACAAAACATACCTTAATATAATAATAATATAAATAATAGTGCTTATTATTCATGGTTACTGTATGTCAGGAAGTGTATTAAAAGCCTTATCTATACTATCTCATTTAATCACCATAATAATCTCATAAAGCATGCACTGCTGATCTTTATTTTACAGTTGAAGAAATTGAGGTATAACAACAATGATAACTTTGAATACAGTGGTAACTATTTGGACTGAATAGGATTTAAGAATGTTAAGACTATTGAACAATGATAGGCAATAGTATCCCCTGGGGAGCCTTTGTTCGCTCTCAGATTATCTGCCTCCTTACTGTCACAGAATTATATTGGGAAAACCAATGGCGGGCACTCAGTCACATCTCCTAGTTTGTTTGGGAATTGTAGGAAATATCTTAAATCCAGCCCAAAACAGAGATCAGACATTTACTACTCTATGGATGGATTCAGCAGCCCTGTGGATACGAATGGAGGAAGAAAACAGAAGGCCACATAGAGAAACCTCCATGGGTAAAGCAAGTAGGGCAGTCTGAGCATCAGGTCAACAATAGCAGAGGGAACATGGGTTGTAGGAGTAGTGTGAGGCTGTGTCTGGTAATCACACATCTCAGCCTCCCCCATGCCCACTAACTATGTCATCACAGGGCTTAGAACCCTGACAAGGGAACTTCTTCTGAAAAAGGTGACCATGAGAAGTAGAGGCTATTTTGTTTCCAGTTCAAAAGACATAAGAAAACTAGCAATGAGCCAAGGATGATAAAGCATATATGTAATGACAGCAATCAGGAGGCAGAGGCAGGAGGACCATGAGTTTGAGGTGAGCCTTGATAACATAATAAGATCATGTCTCAAAAATCAAAAACAAACTAAAAGTCAGTATCTCTGAGATCATGAGTGTCCTGTTGTCAGGAGAGCAAAAGATGTCAGCAGGATGGAAGTTATAGAACTATGGATGAGGGTAGAAAGACTTTAGGGCTACAACCAGCTTCAGCACTGGTTATATGGCAATTGCCTCCTCATTTAATTCTAGGACTCTAGGGCTCCTAGAAGGAATACCTGGAAAGGAATTTAATTCATCAGTAAACAAATGAAATCCTCAAGCAAAGTGCTCTAAATTGTTAACATTCATCCTCACCAACTGCCAAAGCCCGAGATGTTTTGATTCCGTGAAGGATCCTCAGTAATTGTTCACTGTAAAACATGGGGATCATAGAACAATCTAAGAGAGATTGGGTCTGAGAAAGAAACTGCAATGGGGAGTGAGACGTAGGTAGATGGTGGACATAAGTCATACAAGAAATCAAATTTATTTGTGCCTATCTTTACAAAATATTGGTAAGATTCTTATAGACTGAAGAAAACTTATATAACTATAAATATCTTATTTTCTACCTTTGTGCTAATTTATGCTGCTGGTAACCCTTTTAGGTCTTAAGGCAAAGCTACAGGCAAATAAGGAATAACGATTTCAGTATTTTCACTTAATCGTCCAAGAAGGATGTTGGCTTTGAACATTTTTGACCAACAGAATGCAGAAGCAGCACACAGAGCTCTAACACCATTCCTGGTAGAACCTTGATAAATTGGGGTAGTTAAAAAGCCAGTATGAAAAATCTCAACTTGAATTTATTTTGTTGGAAAACTCTTTATCTACCCTGTGTCTCCTAGAATGTAACCTCCACCCTTTATTTTTTTTAATTCCATTTAGCCCTATGAACAGAACAGATGTTTCCAAGTTGATGAACTGATAATCTAGAATTAAAGTGCCATGAAAGCAGGAATTTACCTTGCTCAGTATTGTGTCCTAAGCACTTAGTTCCTGGCACAAAATAGATACTCAGGGAATACTTGTTCAACAAATGAATCACACAGAAAAAACTCTTTACTTCTGATTTGAGGAAGGATGAAAATGACAACAACAATAATAATGATGATAGCTATCATTTGTTAAACACCTACTATTACTTGTTACTATATCAGTTGCATTTCGTAGTTTATTTTACTGAATACTTGAAGTCAACTTAAAATAAATAAAAACTACTGAGCTGGATATGATGGTGCGTGCCTGTAATCCTAGCACTCAGGATGCAAGGCAGGAGGACCACCATTCCAGTCCAATCTGGATTAAGTAGTGAGACCCTGTCTCAAAAAAACAACAAAAAGGGAAAAGAAAGAAACAGACATCAAGACACAAACAGAAAGAAACAAGGGAGAAAACAAATTATTATCTCCATTTTACAGATAAGAAAACTAAAGTTCAACCAGGTAAAGTGACTGGACAACAATCTTTTGTCTACTGTGTGGCAAATCCTAAGTGGAAGTCCATTTGTCTGACTCCAAGCCTGTCTTTTCATTAAATATTTCTATCACTATATCTAAGTAGAAAATTTTCTCCTGTGACTGAGGAGCTGCTTTAGAGCCCCCTTCATGTCCTTGTTCCTTAGGCTGTAGATAAAGGGGTTCAACATGGGCATCACCACTGTGTACATTGCAGCTGCAGCAATGTCCTTTTCTGCAGGGGCAACAGAAGGAGGGCATAGGTAGGCACTAAAGAGGGTCCCATAAAACACACACACAACACAGAGATGAGAACTGCAAGTAGAAAAGGCCTTGGACCTCCCACCAGGGGTTTGGACCTTCAAGATGGCAGATACAATGTGGATGTAGGAGATGACAAGGCATATAATATGAATACTGAGTACCATGCCTCCTATGACAAAAACAATCAACTCATTGATGTGAGTGTCAGAACATGATAGCTTCAGGACAGGAGCTATGCCACAGAAAAAGTGATCAATTTCCCCAACAACACAGAAGGACAGCCGAGCCAAGAGGAGCGTGTGAGTCAGGGCAACTATGTTGGTGAGAACCCAGCACAATGCAAGCAGCAGGGCACAGACTTGGGAGCTCATGACTCTGGAGTAGTACAGAGGATGGCAAATGGCCACATAGCGGTCATATGCCATTACAGCCAGGAAAAAGCTGTCCAGATCACCAAACATCAGGAAGAAGTACATTTGTGTGAGGCAGCCAGTATAGGAGATGGTATGGTGCTGAGTCTGCACATTCACAAGCATTTTGGTAACTGTGGAGGATGTTAAACCCATGTCAACAAAGGACAGGTTGGCCAAAAAGAAGTACATGGGGGTTTTGAGGTATGGATTGGAGCCAATGGCCAGGATGATGAGTATATTCCCAGTCAAGGTGACAAGATACATAGACAGGAAAATTCCAAAGATTAACTGCTGTTGCTCTGGCAACTCAGATACTCCTCGGAGGAAAAATTCAGAGACACTGGATTGATTTTCCATGACTTTATAGCATCTGGAAGCTGGAGAAGACAGGTAGAATACTGGGTTTATTTTAAAACTGCATGGCTGGCTCCCAATATTCCAACACTCACCTTACTTTAAATGCATTATTACCCTGATCCTGACTGTCCCTGAAATTTAACTCTATTTCCTTCCTTTCTCCCCTTCCCAGGAATCTTATACTTTCCCTCTCCTCTCCCTTTCCCTAAATTTAGTCTTCTGTACAGCAAGTACTATTTCATTAAGATTTCAGTTATGTCCATCCCTGGTATTGCCATGCTATAGATTAGAGCTCCATATTAGTTTCATTGTGACAATAGGACACATTCATGAATAGTCTGAGGTAAGTAAATCAGACATTTTGGGGGAGATAGTTTTTAATATTCTCATTAAAAATACAGAAGTCCTCATTTTAAATTGAAGGGCATTTTAATTACTTGTGCTTCTTTATTTCTTCATCATTTCTTCTAAAATAAGAAATATGAAGCCTTGTAGTTCAGTTTTTGTCATTAGCATCATCCTCATCATATAACTACTCATCATATGACTGGCGCTTTTCTAAGTATTTATACAGATTTCCTCCTTTATTCCTTAAACAACATTAGCATTCAGGAGCTATTACTATTACCTATAACAACATTGAGGGTAGGGATATCTGAGTAATTTTCACAAGGACCCAAATGTCATAAATATTTGATACAGAATTCAAACCCATATCAGTTCCACAGAGTTCACAGATCAATATGTAAAAAGTAATTTTCTATAACCATATTAATATTTAATCTCTCATAATTCCTAGTTTAATATCTTTAGTATCACTTGCTCTTACTCCTGTATATATTATCTTTTATAGAACAACAATGAAATTGAAGAAGTGGATAGATCTAAAGATCATCTGGTTCAGAGATTCCCAAACATTAATCTATTGACCGGTTCATTAAAAATCAAGTGAGATGTTTATTAAACATATAGAAATTATTTAAGTGTATATTTATTGTTCAAAGGCATTTTGGCATGATATCCTATCAGCAAATATATTGTTCTTTAATCAGTTTAGCCCCACATCTTACTCTTCCTCATCCTTTCCCCACACTTCTATTATTCAACAGCATTTAGTGCATTTTGTTATGACTTCTTCCTACACAGATGCAATGTATTTCAGTATTATTCATTCTATCATTCTCTTTTCCTCTCCTTCCTTCTCCTAAAACAGTCCCAGAGGGCAACAGTAGCAAAGGAAGAGTGAAAAGAGTAAATGGAGAAGGTAAAAGAGCGTGAATATGGACAATGTATTATACACACACACACACACACACACACACACACACACACACAAATATATATACATATATAAAGGTATAACATTGAAGCCTGTCAAAATAATTTTCAGTTGGGAGGAGAGGGATGAAAGAATCTAATCCAGGCAACTGAATTTAAATGCTGAATTTATGATACAGTCTAGTAACTAAACTTAAAAATAAAAACTAAACTCTCTTGGAGTATTTTTAAAGAAACTTTTGTTTAGATTTATTTATCTCACTCCTTCCTTTTGATTTACAGAGAAATAGACTAATCATCAAATAAGTGAAGTGATTAAACAAGTTTTTACTATGCCTTAGGGTAGATATGATCTAAAACTAAGGTGTCAGGCTCACAGACTAGTGCCCTGTCCATTAAGTTAGCTTTCTATTTTTCATTGATCAAAATCCACACCTAAACATAAACTTCTGCAAACTGATAGACTTAATGGAGTACTGTTCATGATTTGAAGTCAAAAAGCTTCAAATTTTATAAGGTGAGTATCTGGGAGCTGTTATATATTTGTCTACCCCTGTAGCAACTGAATAACACTTATTCAATTGTAGAATTGAATAACACTTCTCAGAATTTTACTGCTTCCTTGAGGACTCAGAAAAGAGCACAAAGCAAGTTATTTTCTCTCCTACTTCATCTCACTGTGGGGAGTATGGTACTTCACAGAGATTAGACTCCTGTAACTGAGCACATTGGAATAATCATGTGCTGAAGGGCAAGAGATTTCCTTAAGACACAACAAATTTTGCATCTCATAAAGATGAGGGGGATGCGGACAGGCAGACAGCTCGATGCTTTTCTAACTTCCAGAGCCTCCATTCAGCCAAGAAGTCCATTTCCACTGAGTATTTCACAGGGACTCTAAGTTACTTTTTGGGAAGAGTAACATCTCTCATTAGTTATGTCAGCATGTAATGCCTATGAAAGTCCTTCAGTCTATGGAACCAACCGTTAAAATCAGAAAATTCCCCAAATCTCTTCCTCCAATCAAAGCTCTCCATTTTAAGCCCAGTTTTTTACCTTCAGTCCTTTTGTTACTCTACTCAGGTATCTCATGCACTCTCTTTATCTATCCTTTGGCTCTTCCTTTCCCTGAAAGGATTTCTCATCCTTCATACTATCTCTGGCCTCAGAAAACTCTATAGATCTTTGAGGCACCAAAGAGGTGCTTCTGGAAACTTGCAACAGACTCTTTCTCTGCCAGATGATGCATCCCTTTACTTACCTCCACTATCTGTTCATCTACTGTATCAGTCAACAGGTAGGAGTTGGCTTGAACATGATGGAAAGAGTTCTCCAAAGGTTGGAACTGCCAACCTGATATTGTTTGACTCAAGTTTCTCTGCAAAGCACTACCCTGTGTACTAAAAAGCTAACAGAAATATCTCTCATTTAGAGGGAAAAGCTCAGGTTCTTTCTGACAATCTTTGTGTTATGTTTAACTGGAATTAGAGTTCATAATCAAGAACAAGGTGAAATGAAAAACAGAAACAAAAGCCATATTGTTAAACTGAGATTAAAAACATAGTGTAGAAGGGACAAAGGGAGAAAGAGCATGGTAGCATTCTAGATAAGGTGCCCAAGAGACTAACAAAGGATGGAAAACACAAGGCAAGGTCATATCTGAAGAGGAGTCTGGAGCAGTCCTCAGTTAAAATAGGGAAGACCAGAAAGGAGATCTGTACTGAATATTTGAGATGACCTGGAACACTACATGCTCTGATCCCACTTAACCTAGGTCTTCTTGAATTTTGAAGTATTTCATATTTATGTTTTGAATCCTGAAGTGATAGCCTAGAGAGAGGGAGCTACTGGCTCATCAGATTAATACCAGGAGAAGGCTCAACAGACTCCACTTTTGGCATCTGCAGACACTTGGTGTCAGGGGACAGAGGTCCCTAGAATCTTGTTATTGCAAACACACATAATTAATCAATTTTGTCTATGTCTGTATTATAACAGACCAAATTAGTATGTCACTGGTTCATTTTAAGATTGAGATGTTTTATTTCTTTCTTTATGTTATGTGGAACCACTAATGAGTTTTGATATTTGTACTGATTTGTAAAAATGAATGTAATATGAAAATAAGTCACCTGCCCTCTTGCAACAAAGTTCTAATCCCTAATTTCCTCCTCTAAAAAATTACCAAGTCTGTTCATATCCACTGCTACAGTTTAATAGCAAAAGACATATCTTTCCTAAAAGAAGTCTCATGATGCATATGACCGACCAAAATTGAACCATGAAAATATAAACCACCTAAACAGATCTATAACAAACAATGGAAACAAGGAAAAGCCTGGGAACTGATGAATTCACTGCTGAATTCTATCAGACTTTTAAGAGCTAATGCTCCTCCAATTATTCTTTAGAGTAGAAAGAAAAGGAACACCACCAAACTCATTCTATGAAGCCAATTTTATGCTGACACCAAACCATATAAGGGCACAACATAAAAAGAAAATTATAGATCAATTCTTTGATGAACATAGATGCAAATTTCTCAATAAAAATTTTGCAAATAAAATTCAGCAACATATTAAAAGGATCATACACTATGTTCAAATTGGTTTCAGTCCAAAGATGCAAGGATGTGATATATACAAGTCAACAAACATAATCAAGCACATAAACAGAATTATGGACAAAAATGACATGACCATATCAATATATAGATAAAGGCCTTTGACAAGATTCAACATCCCTTCACGATAAAAAAAAATACCTGAAGAAACTAGAAATAGGGAATTTATCTCAACATAATAAAGGCTCTATTTAATAAACTGATGGCCAACATCATACAAATTTACTGAAAAGGAAATCAGGAAACCAATCGCATTCACAATAGTCTCAATAAAATACATGGCATAAGCTTAATAAACATAGGAAAGGCTTCTACCATGAAAACTACAAAACACTGAAAAAAGAAATTAAAGAAGACATGAGAAGTTGGAAACCCTCCCATGTTCATGGGTTGGTAGAACAAATATTGTCAACATTGGCATATTACTAAAAATAATCACAAATTTTATGGAATCCCCGTAGAAATTCTAATAACATTCTTCACAAAAATAGGGAAAGAAATCCTAGAACTTGTATGGGAACACAAAGCTGAATAGCCAAATAAATTTTGAGCAAAAGAGTAACCAAACTATATTGCAGAGTCATAGTATCAAAGACAGCATACTGCTGGCACCAAAACAAATATTTAGACCAATGCAAAAGAATGAAGTATCAAGAAATGAGCCCATATAGTGACAGACATCTGATTCTTGAAAAGGTGGCAAAAATGTACACCAGAAAAAAGGCAGTTTCTCTAACAAGTGTTGCTGGGAAAACTGGATATCCACATGTTGAGGATTGAAGCAAGATTCCTAGTCTCATTCTGTACAAGAATTACCTCAAAATGATCAACAACCTCAATGCAAGATGTGAAACTTTGAGACAACTAAAGGAAAAATAGAGGAAGCATGTCAAGTATTAAGTACAAGCTTTATAAACAGTAAGTACTCTAAGAGCTCAGGAATGCACTCTGCCACTTGAGCCATACCCCCTGTCCTTTTCTTTTATTTCATATTTCTTTTAGATAAGGTCTTGGGCTAATATACTGTTCTCTTACAGCTATATGGTGCTGAGTATAAAAAGCATTTATAGGTATGTTTACCTTAAGTATAGGACTAAAGAAAGAGACCTGTGGTAGCCTTCACTGGATCCCAAAGAAGATACAATATGGGAAAAGCTAGACAATCACTTGACCTCACAATACAAAGCTGGAGTCAATAAGCTGAGTAGAAATAATTTTCTGAGAGGAAGACAATGAAGAGACTACATGAGAAATGGAAAAAATCAAAGGGGGCAACATAAGTCTGCAGACTATGGGTAGTTTATTTGTCTTTCTCATTCCTGACCTGGATTGAGTCTGTCTTGATTGAAACTCAGACATGCAGATAGAAAGATTCATAGCCAACATGTCTAAAATGAACTGTTAATGATGGTTACTGTTACCTAGAAGAGTGGTCAGTGTTCTTAAAATCAAGAAGAGGAAATTAAGGTGACAGTATATGGTTGAGGGATTTCATATACCTACATGAAACAGAATTTTAAAAATCTCTTGCAATTGCTTTAAGTGGGGCAGCGAGGAAGCTGAGGGGGAGAGATATTAGGGGAAATGCAAATATTTACACAATATAAGTCTAGTCAGAATTACCACAATGAATCCCCCCTGTATAATGCATATATCTTAGTAAAAACTATAATAAAAAAATAAATGGAGCAGATGAGCCCAAAAGAGTGGATAGTTTCTGGGTACTATAAAGGATACTATGTAGTTTTTTATGCTGACCCAACATCATCATCACCAACAACAAAGAATGTGAGAGATGCACTGAGTGGGAGATGAAGAAAGGAAATGTTATATTTTATAAATGCCCAATTCAGCAACCTTTCAATGCCAAGAGAGCTCTCTTAATGAAGATTTTCTAATAATTCACAAGAACAAGTACATCTTAGGAAATAAGGGAAAAGATTTAAGATCTACCAACTATGAAATTCTGAATCTAACAGGAAAGAAAAATAACAATATTATCTCAGAAAATCAATTTACACCACCTAGGAGTTCCAAAGAAAAGAGAGAATAAACATAACAAAATACAACTCAAATAATAAAATATTTACTGAATACTTATTCCATGCTGGGCCTAAGATTAGGAATCTAGCATTTAGATAAATGTGAATACATGCCTATTATAAAGAAAATAGCCACAGTCATAGAGATGTGATTTTTGCCCTGTTAAAGAGTTTTTCCAGGGCCCCCTTCATGTATCTGTTCCTTAGGCTATAAATGAAGGGGTTTAGCAATGGAGTTACCACTGTGTACATCACAGAAGCAACTATGTCCTTGTTGTTGGAGTTGCTGAATGATGGGAAAAAATAAAGTCCAATAATGGTGCCATAATACAGAGACACAACAGAGAGGTGGGAGCCACAGGTGAGCAGAGCCTTGAAGATCCCTTTGGTGGATGGGATTTTCAGAATTGTGGCCCCAATGCAACCATAAGAGATCAAAATGCATATTAGTGGTAGAATAATGACGACCACTCCTGCTGTGAAAATGACCAACTTATTGAGGGAAGTGTCTGAACATGAGAGATTGAGTAGGGCAGCAAGCTCACAGAAGAAATGAGGGATGGTGTTCTCAGCACAAAAGGACAGCGGGGCCAGAAGGATGTGGGATAGGGCACTGGTACAGGACAGGATCCAGGACATGACTACTAGAAAGGTACACAGCTCCTCTTTCATGATGGTGGTGTAGTGGAGAGGGTGACAGATGGCCACATACCGATCATATGCCATTGAAGTGAGAAGAAAATTGTCCAAATCAGTAAAAAATATGAAATGATACATCTGTGCTAAACATCCTGCATAGGGGATGGATTGACCTGTGTTTGCATGCTCCTCAGCGTCTTTGGGACAGTGACAGATGAAAAGGAAATGTCAATGAAAGCCAAGTGGCTGAAGAAGAAGTACATGGGGGTGTGGAGGTGAGAGTCCAGCCTAATGAGCAGGTTCCCCAGCACTGTGGTCAGGTACATGGCCAGGAACAGGGTGAAGAACACACCCTGCTGCTCTGGCTGGATTGGGAGTCCCAGAAGGAAGAATTCAGACAAGCTGCTCTGGTTCTCCCTCTACATGCTGCTCTTCTCATTGCTGAGAATGAAAGCCCATGGAAGAAAGCAGAAACAAATAAATGTTGATTTATAAAAGACAAATTAAAATGAGCTTGTTTCTACTAGACATTACTATATGCTAATATCTGTCTGCACTGCCATATTGCTAAAACATCATTAAATAGTTGGTATGTAAAATAAGAAAATTTACCAGAAATTTTTCTTTTATTTAACAAAGAAAAGACTTTGATATGGAAAACAAGATGGCACCACTGGCATTTTTCACCCTCTAGGAGAAAGGCAACTCAGAGCAAATCATACCATGCAACTATGTCTACTGAAGAGAAAGCCTTCATTCTCTTTGAAGAGGGATATTAAGATAAATTCTTCACAACTGTAATTCCTCTGTATTTTAAAAAATAGCCATCAGCCTGTTTTGTGCTATAATATATTGAACTTTTGAAATGTGACTTTAAAATCCATTAATAAGTAAGGTTTATGGTGGAAGCTTCAACAATATACACCTATGCTAATTGAAAAAGCAGAATATTACCTATACTTTATAAACTCCTTTAAATCACTATCAATCCCTAGAATAAACTTTATCCTGACTTCTAACTAACTAAACAGCCAACAGGAAGAAGGATCGTGAGTTCAAGGCCAACCTGGGCTACATAGTGACTTAAAGACAAGCCTGTGGTGCACAGAGCCTTTCTCAAGTAAATAAATAGCCATGCCAGGTGAGATGGCACATGCCAGTAATCATAACACCTGGGAAGTTGAGGCATGAAAACTGTTATTTCAGGCCTGCCTGCACTGCACAGAGACTCTGTCTCCACCTCCCACTCACAAAATAGACAAAATTTCTATTATGTACAAAATTGATGAGAAAAGTAATATGTCCATTGATTATAATATCACTGCAATAAAAAATGAAAGTATCATTGGAAGTTATGTATATTTATTACCAAAACTGTATTTATTTATACGTTTAAGATCATTTTCCAATCTCCTCTTCATTTAATGGGCTCACATGAAACATGAAAATTCCCAAGTCACAATAGAGTTTTGATAAGGAGACCAAAAAATGAGCCAGTAGTATGCCCATTCCCCATTTTTAGCTCCCCTACTAGGGCTCCTGGCACCTTGAACTACAGCACTTGCTGATCAGTCCTATCAATATTCCAGGTATATATAAGACCTCCTGGTCATCAGTATCAAGTATCTTAAAAAATCTATTTGTGGCTTTCCTTAACGAACACCCATTAAAATATTCTAAAGCCTAAGTCACCAAATACTTCAAGATAATTAGTATAGACTAATGATATAACAGCATGTTAAAAAAATATTTCCTTTATACCAAAAAATAAATGCCAAATCCCTAATACATATGCCTATATGTAGTAAATAAATGCAGTATTTTAAGATTTAATTATAATAGTATTATATTTAATAAATATAATATATATATAATATATTTAATAAATAACTATTGTATTTAATAGTTCATAATTGGAGGAAATGTCCAGAAGTTTTTACAGATATTAATGGTATGCTTAAAATTATTTGCTTCTTTAAATTGGTGATCTAAGCATGCTGTTATCTCATGTGAGTATGCCATTATCTTTTTAAGTATATTGAGAAGCAGCCTCAATAGAAAACAGTTACAGGTGTTTTGAATGCAAGAATAACTGGCCCACATCCCCAGTGTGTCTTTGTTCATTCAAGCATTTTGTTGCTCCTAACGGCTTTCCCTTAGGACAGGGACCTATGTCTGAGGGCAGTGTGATGTATTGAGAATAACATGTAAATTTAGAAATGGATGTAAATCCTGGCAACATCACTTCATATTTGTGAACTCTGGGCAAGAAACCCAATTTGAGGTTTTGTTTTCTCATTTCTAAACTGGACATAAGACTATGAGTCTAAATCATGAGACTATTCTGAATATTAATAGAACACAACTTGTGAAGAGCAGTTGTGGATACTTGTCATCAATTAATATTCGTTTCCCACTCTCCAATGGAGACCCCTCTATTTCTCTGTAGTGACTGCCCACCCCACTCAGCAGAAAGATGCTGAGCAGAGTTCAGGTTCCACAGCATCACTCCTCACTAGAATAAGACTGGATGCAGGCAAAGGCAACAGACAGTGGTGATGAACTTCAGCATAGAAGTGGAGTCCAACCACATCCTGCAAATTAGAGAATGACAACTCAGATATTCCAGTGTTCTGGACTTCATCCACTCTTTCTCCATTCTTTCTGCTTTCCTTCATGCTATAACAAGTCAACTCCCTCCTGAAGTTTTACATGGGATTTAGGATTTTTATAGAATTGCCTTGGATTCAATTCAGGCATGACTGAACTTTTATCTAAACAAGCTCTATGTAAAGACTCTCACTTCACCACACCCACCCTCTCATCAATACCTTAACCGCCACTTGCTGATAATGGATATTTTCTTGACATTGAGTCTGTGTAGAAAGCAAAGTACAACTTTTGTGGTCAGACAGAAAGAATTCAAATCACCTCTGTGCCATTTGTCAACTATATATCCTTAGGAAAGATATTTTGAGAACTATTGGAGTGGCTCAAGAGGTAGAGTGCCTGCCCAGTAACTGTGAAGCCCTGAGCTCAAATCCTAGTATTGCCAAAATAAAAGATATTGCACCATTTGGAGCCTCAGATTTTCTTCTGAAGACTGGGATAATAGTCCTGCAGTAGAGTAAGAATTAAGGAATAATATATGTAAAACAACTTACTAATAAGTGGCATCCTATATGAGGTGACATAGCTTCCATTAACTCTAAAGTACAAAGAAATCTAGGCAAGATACTTGGTGTCTTATCTTTATGAAACACAAGAAAAAGTAATTGTGTTGATTCAAAATCCTCTCTTCTAGCTATTTTTGAAATTCACAATAAAGTATGCTAATAGATCTTTCCTAGGAGCAAGATTTGATGCCTTCATTGGAGATATGAAACTACACTAGGGAAGATAGGCATCAAACCTTCTAGAAGATTCTAACAAGGAGGTGAAAAATGAGTGCTGCACTGAGAAAATGACCAAAGCTCTGTAGAAAGAAGTATCCTTCAAATATGCTTTCAGGTGAAAGAAACAAAGCCATCTGTAAGAGAGAGAATGAATAGGAATTTTGGAGAGAAATACTAGAGAGGACTGGTTAACAGTACATACATTAAACAAGCAAATATTACACCACCTAGAAACAGAATGGTGATATTAGACCCTCAGCCTGGATTTGGAGATTCAGTCATTAGTTTATGTAGCCAGCTGGCTCTGTTCATCTCTCTAAGGCTTATAGTTAAAAGCATGAGAGTCTTTGGTCAGGACTGGTTGATATATCCCTTTCTTTTGGAACTAGCCATAAGAAATGACTTCAGCAAGAGCCCAGAAAGCACGCATGCACACACACACACACACACACACACACACACACACATTCACTAACTCACTCACTCAACCTACCGATGAATGATACTCACTCCTACTCTGAACTTTATGTTCAGATTATCCAGCTCTCAGTATATGATGTACTGATTTCTCAGCTTGTCTCTAGGAGAGCCAGTAACCATATTTAGCACACAATTTCTGTGGCCCTCAGCCTGTCATTGACATCAAATAGAAAAGTTATGAGCTTCCTTGAAGTTTACTCCTCTCACTTCATTGGCTTCATTAACAGAGATGTGAACACTCTACCCTATATACTAGGGAGAGCACCCAATGAGACATGTCACTAAGCTATTAGTTAGAGACTTGTTTTAAACTTATATTAATCTCTCAGTTTTCCCCATACTCCCTCCAGGACAGATGCCCTGGGGCAGTGGTCTCTAAACTTTGATGTTGAGAAAATCACCTGGGGAGCTTGTTAAAGATTCAGATTCCAGCTTTCCAGCTTCACCTCTGGAGATGTTCATGTAACTCTTAGGCAAGTGTTTCTAAGGACAGTCTTGGAGGAAGCATGTCATCTTATGTGCCCTATGAATGTGAGCCAAAAAGGAGCTGGGAAAAGAGCTCTTCAGAGTTTCAGATTTCCCCTGGTTAAGTAATAGTACGGGGTGTGTGCAGGGCTTTTTCTCCAAAATTGAAATGCCTTTATGTTTGTTGGTTACAAAATTAATTCCTCTTCATGATGGGAATCCAAAGAGTATAAACATGTTTGACAAATATGTCAAAAACCCTTGTTGGAAAGATGATAGTCTATTCAACAAGAGAAAACAGGATATCCACATGTAGAAGACTGAAATAGACTCCTATCTCTCACCCTATTAATTATTAATTTATTAATTAATAAATATTAATTCCAAATGTATCAAAGATCTTAATGTAGGAATGAAACTTTTAGATGAAATCCCTTGAAGATACAGGCATAGGCAATGCTTTTCTGAGTAGAACCCTAACTGTTCAGAAATAAGAATAATTGAAAGATAGTTTTTTGAATCAACTTAAAAAGATTCTGCACAGCAAAGGAAACAACTACCAAAATCAAAAGAAAACCTACAAAATGAGAGAAAATCTTTACCAGTTATTCATCTAACAAGGAGTTAATATCCAAAATATATAAATATTTCAAAAATTAAACACAAAAAGTAACAAATAACTCAATTAATAAATGGGAAAATTAATTGAGAAGAGTTTTCTAAACAGAAAGTAAAAATGGCTAATACATGAAGAAATGTTCAGTATCCTTAGCCATAAGGAAATGCAAATCATCATTGAGATTCCATCTTACTTCAGTCATAATGGCTGTCATCAAGAAAACAGACAACAGCAAATGCTGGTGAAAATGCCAGGGAAAATGAACCCTTACACATGATAGGAATGTAAATTAAGTCAGCCGTTATGGAAAACAGTGTGAAGGTTCCTTAAAAAACTAAAGATAGAACTGTCATATGATCCTGCTATACCACTACTGGGCTTATAGCCAAAGGAATGTAAGGCAATATGCAGCCAAAATACCTCTACCCATGTTTATATCAGCAGCACTATTCACAATAGCCATAGG